CCCCAAAACCCCAAAACCCCAAAACCCCTATAAATTATTACTAAATAGAACAAAGCAGGCATTGAAGATGGAGAAGCTAAAGTTCAACTTTACAGATCCCCAGAATGATTGTGGCCAGGCAGCCATTAAACTATGTGCGGAAGGAAGTGCAATTATTGCTGAAATCCAGAGACTATGAAGATTTATTTCTCTTGTATTCAAAGATGAAGAATCCTACGAAAGAAGAGTTTAATCCAAGGTAATCTTCGACTGTAGCTACATTGATAAAGCAGAAGATTATGAAGATGAGATCCAGAACACCGTTGAATTGATTGAACTAGATGAAAACTTCAGAGAATCTTATATAGACATCATCGAGAGATTCTATCAGCTATATACAAGTATTTATCTTTACTATCAGAATTTTGTCAAGTATCTCGACAATTCAGGGACGGTTTCTTCTTTGAGTATACTTTTGAAGGTATTTTGCTATTGAGAGACTGCAGACAACTAATGGCTGAGCTTCTCTATAACTATGGAGTCATGTTGATACTTTTGGATAGGCTTACCCCATCATACTCTAGAGAGAGGATCTTAGTCGGCTATTATAGATACAAAGGACAATCATCCATAGGAAACATTAAAGAAATTTTTAACTCTGCGGTGGTACAGGATATTCCTCTGGTTCTTCATTTCCTAAAGGGTATCCCATCAAGTATTTCGATAGGTTCTGCTTTGGCAAGTCTCCTTATAAAGAATGTGTAGAAACATTGTCGAGCAAATAAAAAGTGATGATATTTACCAAATGCTGAACTCTTATTCTTCAATACATCACAAATCTACAACTTTAGCTCAACAAGGAACCATGATTTTGTCTGCTCATTCTTCCTGCCCAAACTTTTAGAGGATGAAGAGACAAAGATGAGAGAAATAGTTGATAAACACTTCTATGATAACTGGGTCATCCCTGTATATCAAGGATATCTAGTGGACATTACTCAGTACTGAGGTCAGTTTGAAGCTTCCAGAAAAGCCATTAAAAATAACATAAACGAGAAGAAGGTTACACAAATAGCACTTTACCATCAAGATAAAGTCAAAACTCTTCGGAAAGACCTCAGACTTTACCTAAAGCAAGGCAAATTATTAGATGAGTACGTTCTTGACAATGTTCAGCCCCTCTTGCAATGCCTAAGAGAGTGCAACATCACTATTAGATGGCTTTTATTACACAGGAATTGAAGGAGTAAATCTCTCAGAGATATCATATTACCCAATCACGAGACTGACGATATTATTGAGCTCCTTCTAGCTACTTCAAAGTTTGAAAAAGAGCTGAAAGATCTATTTGAGAATTTGGTCAAAACAAAAAGTGAGGTATGGGCCAAAGATAAAGGAGAGTGCGTGTTTTACATACATGAAATTGCCGAATACTTTCTGGAAAACAGATATATGGGTAAACAATATGTTGATGAAAACTACTCCAACTGGTTCAAACAGATTGGGGAGAGAATAGAAAACCTCTCTTATAAACATTCGACTGTTGCAGGAAGAATTATCAAATCTATCGTTCAGGCCCTAGATGATATTGAGATTTATGAGCCTATTGAAACTAACATTCAGATTAAGCACTTTATACAAGAGACTAAGAAAGGCCTCCTCCACATGGTTCGTAGCGTGAATGTGAAAAGATCGTATCTAGTAAATATTTCCCATATAAGTGATTTCTCATATGCATGGAAGGTAATTGATGATTATATGCTGCAAATCCAAGAGAGAATCAAAGAAAAGCCTCCTACTGTTCTTCTCATTAAAACTTTATTCAAGAAACTTGCATCTATTATGAATCTCCCTCTTGGAAGAATGATGGAGGCTAACAATAATGATATCGAAAACATTGCTATGTACTACTCCTCAGAGCTAGTGAAGTATGTCAAAAGAGTACTCCAAGTAATCCAAACTTCAATATTCGAAAACCTTGAAGAGATCTCTAACTTACTAATTTCGAAGATACCAGAGCTCCCTGTAAAAATGTCAAAGGATGAACTGAAGAATTACACTGCATTTGAAGACAGATACCAACTAGCGAAGTTAACACAAAAAATCTCTGTATACACTGAAGGTATTCTTTGCCTTGACAAAGCCCTCATGGGAGTGATCCAAGTAGATCCGAAGGAGATACTAGTTGAAGGAATTAGGAAAGAACTAGTCAACAATGTTTCAAGGCTCATTCACCCTGTCTTTATCTTCAGCACCAAAGATGATAATAATGAACTTCAGAATAAGCTAGGCAAACTTACTGCAAAATTTAAAGGTCTCAAGAAATCATTCGAATATATTCAAGATTTTCTCAACATCCCTGCTGAGCAAATTTGGAGAGAAGAAGTCTCTAGAATTTTCAGATATAGTCTTGACAAAGAAGAAATGAATGTAATCACCAAGAAGATGGAATTGAACAGCCTTGATATGGGTATTCCAATCCCTCAATATCCAACTCCAGAGAATGATAAAAGCCCTAGTTTCCTTGGAAGAAAGATGAACCAGCTTGCTAGTATCTTATCGCCAGATAAGGTACTCTATCTTGACCAAGTCAGTAACTTCTACTCAACAGAGACTGGCAGACAAGTGTTTGGGCTCAGAAATGTAGTCGCATTATAAAAAGATCTAGGAATAGTCTATATTCAGAGCCTTGATCAAATACTCAGCTACAGAATAGTCAATGACGTCAAAGTATTCATCAGAGAGTACGGCCGAATGATCGGTGGAGGAGGAATCAAGAAACAGGATAGTATAAAATCTGGAACTAGAGTTGAAAATCTTAAGCATACATTAAAGACATTTGAAAGAGGAATTCCTGACTTTTATACTGCTACAGAAGCCCAATATAAAGGATATTCCCTTCTCATGGACTCTTTCAAACCAGTGTATTCTAAACTTATAAATATAAAGCTGATTAAAGAATGCAATAAAGATAGATTTTACTTCCATCTGATTTTTATGATTCAATCTCACTGATCCAAAATTTGCTCACAAGGCCAGCTACAACTAGTCCGCCGCATAGTGCTCAGTCATCTGAACTTTGTTGCAAAAGTGGAGACTCCATTCTTCTATTCCTGTCTTTCGAATCTAAATACCTCTACTTTCTATTCAATGGAAGTCCTTAAAACTCGTGCTCAAGAGATAAAAGAAGAAATTATAGAAGAAGTAGATGAAGAATATGACTCAGATGACCCCCAATACTAAGAGAAAAAGAGAAAATAGCGAAGAACGTAAAAATGGAGGCCACAACTACCTTGTAGACCACAGAGATGAGACCAAGGGTGAAAAGATCCTCAGAGACCTCCTGAAAAATCTAGGGGCATCCTTGAGAGCTCTGGTTTTTAGAACCCATTCATAAGGTCTATGTTCTGACTAAAGATCTTGACTATATGGCACTTAATATGCTTTTGATGACTTTGATAGCTTCTAATCATCTACAATATGATTTGAATGTCAATTCACTTGTGAGAAAGAACAAGAACTCAAATATAGACGGACCTTGTTTCGTTATGGGGTTGATCACGATCTTCAAGCAGTTTCATAACTCATATTTTAAGAAATACCTAGTGTATATGTCACACTACATAAAGTCTTCAATCGAAGTCTCCAAAGACAAAGGATCTCTCCAAAAGCAAGGGTGCTACCCTGAAGATGTTACTATTCTGTTTGGCATCCTTGAAGAAATTCTCAGATTTGGTAAATACGACAGAGAAGTTATTAAGCAAGTTATGGGAGTCAACTTCCTCTTCGATAATTTCAAGAGCATTCCAGGAGGGTCTCATAAAAAGTAGATCATTCAATATAGAAACGGACATAAGGGGTTTTGGGGTTTTGGGGTTTTGGGG